ATTGTTCCACTCTGGACAGTTTTCACAGGGCTTGACCCAAGACCTTTTTTTAAAGCAGCACTTCTTTGCTTCGCTGAGCATCAAACTCCACTCCTTCCATTATTTAGGTCTTCCTTCTTCAGGCATCCCTTCAATAATTAAGCATCAAGCTTAAGGAGTGCAGGTTACAGTCTCTGTTGTCAGACCTTCAGGGCCAACAGTGTTGGACATGTTCTCACAGATAGTACTAGTGTAAAAGGCTCTGCAATAAATGTTGTTTTCCTCTTATTTAGGCTCTGATTTATTGCATGTTTTTTTCTTCAAATGTGCATCAAACAATTTCTTCCTTTTTTCCTCTTAGGTTTCGTCCCAACACAGACTCAAACACTTTTCGTTCCAGGACTCAAAAGAGCCCCCACCCTCAGTCCCGTTCTCCTCTCAGCCGCAGGCCAAGGTGAATTCCTTTTTATTGTTGTTTTTCTTAGTTCAACCTTTAACTTTTGTCTACCATTAACCTTTGTTTAGTTACACATTTCCACATTTGTGGGAAAGTGAGAAGTATGCTTTCAGGACAAATGTGTATTATTAGAAACAGCCTTAAAACTGCAGCAGGGGAAAAGTTGCAAAATTCTAGAGCTGATTAAAAAGAAAGAAAAGTTTTAAAAAATAATTACTCTTACTATAAACATGACCTTTTCTGTGCCAGGGCCCAAACAGCGCTGGATTTCTTTTATCTAAAGTATTTTCTTGTGTCGACAAACATTCCGGCCAATATGCAGTATCCAACTGATCGCAGTTTTGGAAGAGCCACAGACGTATTTAATTCAAATTGCTGCATATTCAAACTTGACTGTTGAGTATCTCAGCTGTGTAGCTGTTTTCTTCTAACTCAGTGCTTCTGTAGTTTTCCATGAGACACTGCGAAAAGGACCGTTTCATATGCGGAGAACTACTGGCACTTAGCAGGAAGAGAGAGAGAGAGAGAGAGAGAGAGGTAGTGGGACACCATCTAAGCACTGCAAGCTGATTTGGCAACCACGTGCTTAATGACACCCGACAAGCCAGAAAGTCACTCATCAGTTGAAAAACTTAACGGACATCCTGTGTGAGTGTGGCGTGGGGGAGAAAGTTGCACTTTCCCTCTTGATGAAGCCCCAACTAAGCAGAAAGTAATGACATGTGAAGTTGTGCTGACAGTCGCAGCTGCCTGACTCCCCGACTGCGATGCTTACCGGCACTCCCGCAGGCCTGTCCTGGAGTCTTTGTAGTCATAGCAGTGGCAATAATTGTCACTTTTTGCGTTAAATTTCTTGCTTATTTTTTCCCCTCATGTGTCCTGTGAGCAGATCTGGTGTCCAATGTGTTTTTTTATTTGTAAAAGTGAATTTAAGAGGGAATCCCGTGCCAATGACGTCAGGTGTATGTTTGTGTGTCAATTGCAGGTATGACAGTTATGAGGAGTACCAGCACGAGAGGCTGAAAAGGGAGGAGTACCGCCGGGACTACGAGAAACGGGAGTTTGAAAGAGCCGAGCAGAGAGAGAGGCAACGGCAGAAAGCAATAGTGAGTGAGACAAAGGCTAAGTGCCTGATGCTTTGGTCAAATATTTGTACCTGAAAACATAGCGTGAACCATTACAGGTCACTGGTCAACCAGTGATGTGTTTTCCTACTGCAGTACAGTATATAATTTAAGTTGTTCAACAATGTCAGAAGACATGGGATAGCGCTGACCACACTCATTTCTCTTCTCAGTTGAATGGCTCAGTGGATAAATGAGGACTTTACACCTCACCAGGTCACTTTTCTTGTCGAGACGTATTTAACCAACATACATACATACAACATTGTGTGAAACATGGAACTAGAACAAATAAAATACTCCCATTTTTATTTTTTTGCTCAATGGTGTCAGGACACATCTAACAAAAACCTTGTGTCACAATTTGTACCTGAGTTTAAAGTGAAATACTGATGACATACTGATGTTTTGATGACAGACCCTACTTCATCCCCAGGTTGTGCATTTTTTACATCTTAATCTTGGTGAAAAAGAAGAAAAGCAAAGAGAAAAAAAATTCTCTTCAGCCACTTTTTCTTTATTGGTCTGAAAAGCCTGACACAGTAAATATCATATTTCTTCTACCTATCTCCGCTCTCCTGGTGGCAGTGTGAAGTAACTCCAGGTTCCCTCTGAGGTAAAGCCACTGCCACCCATTGATAAGGTGCACATAATGATGCAGTAAAGCAAACTTGGCTTGGCATATTTTTTTTTGTTTTGCGAGATGAAAAGACAAACAATTAGGAGCAGTGAAGCTCGACCTGTCAAACAATATTTGTGAAACGGGAGATATGAAAGCAGCTCCATGTGTTTGTCCATTTCCCACGTTCTGTTTTCTCACTTTCTTTTTACTTTTCTCTCTCTCTTTCTCTCTCTTTCTGTCTGATTCAAACACCCACTGACACACACCCACACACACACACATCAGCCCCTCGGGGTGCCATCAAGAAAAAACACCTATTTATCAGTTGTCAGCAAGTAAATCCTCTAAATCAGCAAAAACCTTTTCGTCCTGAACAGTACGTAAGCATTAAAGACAGTGGAAATTTTTTTAAAGAACAATAACCTGAAGTTAATTTTTTATTTTTTCTCTGCAACTTTGCACAAGTCACAGAGGGCAAAGGTGAACTGTGAGTTGAGTACAAGGCAGCTGATTTACATACACGCTATCGTACCACTGCCCTCAAGACAGCGTTAGAAGTTTCTGCAGACCTCAGTGGACTTGGCCCAGTAATGGCAAATAAATGAATGAATAAATAAATAACAGCAGTGATACACCATAGCCCCAGGCCTGTGCTGTATTATATGATTAGCAGATGCAATTAAACCACTCAGCAGCTATAATTGCAGCCTGGTGCAATTTGTTCTTAAATTATTCTGCTATGACCCCCGCGTCCTCTGCAGTTCAAGGAAATCCACGTCTTTTTGCCCCGTGATTCGCGACTGCTGCTTTTAATGTTCCCTCTTCACTGGAAACGAATGTCTTTCCAATTTCCAAAACAGACTTTCTGGAAGTTTTTGCCTGATGTTCACGGGTGTATTGTATATTCCAAGTACACCATATTAGATGGTGTATATTAGTACACAAAGATTTAGTGTCAATCTGCTACAGACTAAAGATGGGGCTAGTACTGCAGGTACTGACACCAATATTTTTTTTCTTTCCTTTTTTTATATAAATTAAGGTTGCTGCATCAACAAATTTCTAAATCTGAATAAGGTTTGGTGTTTTTGGGACTTTCATTTTAGTTTTTAATACGTTTCAGCGTGGCGCAGAATTTGACAATGTTTATGGCTAAATAGAATATACATTTTCTTTATAGTTTTTCACATTAAAATAAAAATATCTATTTCTTGCCCTTTATTTTCCTTTTTTTTTAAATAAAACTGTACACAATTATCACAAATATATCGAATATTGTTTTTTTTTAGCCGCTGCAAAAGAAAAAAACTAGAGAAATCTTGAGAGGGCATTGTTAATAAAAGAAAAAAAAACCTCCCACCTCTGGTTGATGAGTTGTCCAGAGAGAGAGGTATGGTGGTATCAAAAGCAGATTGAAGGTGCTTTCCAAACTTCAAGTCTATCAGATTAGAGGAACTAACCTGATCCAATCAGAGAGGGACAGATAAAGCCAGACACAGGAGTGCAACAAAACCAGGGCCACGGAGTGATCAAGTCCAATTCACTGTGTCTGGTGAAGAAAGAGAGGAGGAAATAAAAAATAAATATAGACTCCCCCTTTAATTTACTTTTATTTTTCTCTGTCAGGAAGAGAGACGAGTGGTGTACGTGGGGCGACTGAGATCCAACTGTACAAGGACAGAGTTGAAGCGTCGCTTTGAAATCTTTGGCGAAATCGAAGACTGTGCAGTGAACCTGAGGGACGATGGGTAAGGCGACAGGACTTTGTGTGCATGCACGTTAAGTTATTATTTGACGAGTATTTCTTAGACGTATGTTTTAATGCAGCAGATGGGATTGGTGCTAAAACAACAACAGGACAGTGTCTAATCCCTGAGACAACAGCAGTCTTTCAGTCTTAGTGCGTCTCCTGATTCATCCACTGCCAACCCTACAGAGCCCCTAAAATACACAGTCATTGATTCTCCTTTGCATATAAATAGCATGATCGTCATCTATCACAAGGCCTCCTGTTTAGTGATTGTTGCCCCACAGCAACACTCTGACGTATCTTTTTCTATTCCTGACCAGGGACAATTTTGGCTTCATCACGTACCGCTACACTTGTGACGCCTTTGCCGCCCTTGAGAACGGACACACCTTACGCAGGTCAAACGAGCCTCAATTCGAGCTGTGCTTTGGCGGACAAAAGCAGTTCAGCAAATCTCATTACACAGACTTGGGTAAGTGCACCTTTGTTGTTCTCCGCATCTGTCCCCTGCAGCCATGCAGTGTACTTTGTCGCTCTAAAAGCCGTCAGTAAAAAGACGGAAAATGAGAAAGCAGGAAAGAAGACAGAAAGGCTGGGGTTGTGCTGCCATATTGTGCAAGCCCCATATCTCTGCTGGTAAAATTACTCCAGCCTAGAATGTGTCCACCAGGCATTTGTGACCCAAAGGGCAAAGCGACTTGAGCGGTCAGTCTGTGACCAGAGAGGGAGCTACATTTCCTCGCTGCCGGTCCTATCTTCAGGAAAACCTGGCAGACTCCATTACTCATTTAGACATGGAGCAAAAGCAAGACATTTGGGAGAAAGATAGCACATTAAAGCATATGTGCAGCTACGCATGAGGTGAGCCGGTGTGTGTTGTGTGGGCGTCGCAATCACTTTCAGTACATGTTGGAGCACAGATGGAATTATGGAGGAAGAAGAAGAGATGGGATAGAAATGACAAGAGAAGAAGTTGGGGTGAGAAGGAACAAGGTGGGAACAAGGTTAATTTGCAGCAGTCCCTCCTTCCTGTAGAGTGGGGTCTCATCTGCTGCCAGCTGTTTGAGGGCTCATTGTATGGTAAAGCCTTGATGGGTCTCATAAAGCCCACTCATTTACATAGAGGGAGGATTCTCAATTTACACACCTACTTACCAGTGCCTCCATCATGGCGTCCTGCTGGGAAGTAGAATTCTTATTTCCATAAAAGTTTGTTGCCTTTCCTTAAACTGAATTTTAAACAAAAATCTATATTTTGGTCATTTAACTTGTAACACATATTTCAATCTGTGAAAGTGACAGTCTCTACAGCGCATTACTGGAGTGTTTTTAAAATAAAAATTGACCAAAAAGACAGAAACAGTGACAGCATGGGAGGTTCCTCATTGATCAGATTAACTGGCAACCGCTTTGAATTTCAGGACTAAAGTCACCCACCAGTGGTTTGTTTGAAACCATGAACATGAATATGACTTTGTGCTGGACACGTTTCATTTGAAAAGAATCAAAGAAATCCAGTGAAATCATTGAACATTAAGTCCAATCACCACAGCCTCTGCTGAATGTCTGACAAACCTGGGAACAGCTGTAAATAAGTTTAGATGTAGATTTGAGTTATATTTTCTGAGGGTTGTAGTTGCTGAAAAGAGTAAAAGGACGTATATGTATGTATTCAAAGCTTTTTGCATTAATAATATACACAAATATCAGATAGAAAACTTCACTTGTGTAAAAACGGCTAAAGGCTGAATGACACATTTGATAAATAATGAAAGCTATCAGTGAAATCAGAGCGTTTTTTTTTTTTCCTCTGGCAAGACTTTCTTTCTGACGTGAATAAAAGGAAAAAAAAAAGGGCAAACTGCTTTCTTCTATAGTTCCGCGGTGATAGAAGTGATGATAAATGAGCAGCTGTATGGAAACCTAAGAGATATAAACAGATATTGACTCTTGCACCTACAGCTCATTTTGCTTTGACTGGTAGTTATCAGCAGAAACCTGAGTTCAAGAATATTTTAGGCAGAGCTGCCAAAGCTCCAGAGTTGGGGAGGGGAAAAGAAGACTTTCTTCAATAAATGAAGCAGTTACTATAAAGAAACTACACTGAAGAATTGACACACAGAAACAGTTGCTAATCCTAAAGCCTTGAGGGTAGACATTATGCCGAGATTGACTAATCAGTCTGCTGAAACGGAAAGGCCTTCATTCCACTGCCTCTTTGTCAGGAACAGGCTATTTTAGTCATCCCCATGCTGATAGCACAGGATAAAGAGACTGGGAGGAAAATTTATATCCGTCTGTATGCAAAACCCACCCTCCCCCTGTTCCTAATGCTGTAGTCCTGTTTCTTTTCTTTTTTTTTTGTTTTTTTGTTTTTTCCACAGACATATTCATTAGTTTTTGGTGGAGCATGGGGGTAATTTTCAGCCCTCAAGGTGCACAGCATGACGCAATCCAGCCCTCGGCCATTGCATTAGATCACGACTGGCGTTCCCAAGCTGACACGGTTATTCCCGTCTCTCGGAGCTCTTGAATTGTGCTCCTGGGCCCTTTGGGGGGCCCAGTTGTGAAGCGGTCTGTTGGCGGAGATAAGAGATGTTTTTTTTATGTCTTATCAGATTGATCTAGAAAAATAGGACATGGATATGGTTTCACATTTTTGTTTAAAAAATCTGAAAACAACCTCCTCTGTTGAAACTCTTTATAATAATTTATACTCTGGTGTGTTGCACCATACAGTACTCTGCTTGTTTAAAAGTGTAGTTTTGGTGTTGAGGCTTCAAGATTGTTCTCTTGTTGTTCGGGTTTCTTTGTGGACTTGGAGGCATTACTTGCTCTGTCACTGCTTGGTGGACACCTTATTTTATCATCAACTGTTTAACTTGCTTTTCCACAGCAAAATACTAATACGATACAAGTATCTGGTATAAGCACGGAGAGACAGATCTTTTGTCATGCAAGTTTTTGTGTTGAGGCTTCAGGGGATTGTTCTCTTGTTATTCAGGTTTCTTTGCGGACTTGGAAGTGATTACTGATACTTGATTTGTTTACACCTATTGTATGCATACTGGTGCTTGAACCAGCAATATTTTAATTGTCAGAATTTCAATATCTTATTTCCCAATCTGGTTTGACATGACACATCTGACCTCCCATGTTATTTTGAGGTGTCGTTTGTCCGTCGATATTTTTCATATTAAACGAAAAATACTAATTCTATACAAGTATCTGGTATAAGCACGGAGAGACAGAGATTTTTGCATGACGACGACCAAACCGTTGAAAAGAACATTTTATTTTTTGACAGTTAAGTTCTGTATTTTTCTACCCTGAAGGACTATTCAGCTTTGTTGCTAACCGACTGCTAAAACAGTAAGAGAGGTCTGCATACAAAATGGAATTGAATAAATTGGATCTCTTTGTCGATGTCAATACAGATAGTTTTTTAATTTAGATCTGACGTTGGTAGTATTATTTTTATCTTTTAAATAGTATTCTAACCTCTTATTCATCTATTTAGTAAAATAGAAATAATAATGGTTATTCCCAATGTATAACAAAAATATTTTTTGTCCTTGTGTCCACTGTGGTGAAGGCTGGTTGTTCTGTGAGTTCAAGGAAATAAAACAATGACATTTCCCCCCTTTCAGATTCCCATTCGGACGACTTTGATCCAGCCTCCACCAAAAGCAAGTACGACTCCATGGATTTTGACAGCTTGCTGAGGGAGGCACAGCGCAGCCTGAGAAGGTAACCAGTTCGGTGGCACCTGCTGTCTGTCACAGACAAAGAGGGGACGTCCTATACCTCACTGTTGTTTCTCGCCCTTGTTGACGACGAGACTGAAAGAAGTTTTACACTCTGTCATAGAGTATATAAGATGAAGTCTATAGACCTATATCAATATAAATGAATATATCAAAAACAAAGTTTACATTAACTTAGCTGCTGAAGAGCTGCGAAGAGACAGTTCATTGAAAAGTTCGGGAAAAGCCAGTGAACCCTCAGAACCTGGTGCACGTGTTTGGTGCACTCTACTGCTGTGCAACCATACGTAAAAGAAGAAGAAGAAAAAAAAAACTCTTTCTTTCTCCAAGTACGACAATGCCCTCACACGTTTCGGGTGAAAACATGCAGCTTTTCTTCTTTTTGTTTTTTGCTGTTGTTTTTTTTTTTTCTTTAACTCTGGTGTCTGGATCTGGTGTTACATTACATACAGGAGCATAGGGAATTGTCTCTTGGAGGTAAGACTCTCAAGGTAACATATTGGTCTACATTTTTATGGTGAAATGTAGCAAGTGTATTTACAAGTACTTTAAAGAGGAATATTTTTTATTTTGTGTACATATGGGATAAAGTTCTTTATTTGTTACAGCTATGCACTGTAAAACGCAGCCTTTTTTTAAAGACGAGAAGAAAATTTCTTAATTGAGAATGTCTATCTGTAGTCATTACAATACTGTAAAACATATTGT